GGGGTTGGGGGGGGTGGGGTGGGGTGGGGCGGGGTTTTGGGTTGGGTGGTGTTTGGGTCGGGCTACCCCCAGCAAGGCCCGTGCCCGCCTTAACTTAAGGCGGGCGCAATGTTTGATGGGAATAGCAGCCGAGAGGTGAAAAAAAAACAACCGAAGTCCTGCACAAAAGAAGAAACAACAAAAAAGAGGCAGACGTGGTACAAAGGGAAAGGAAAAATGAACACATATGATACAAACAAAACGTACGGCTGCACATAGTTTGCACATAGAGTTATGCCGAAAAAAACAGCATGGACAATAACAAACACTACTGTCGAAGTGAGCGTACCATACGAAATATGAAAGGTCAAAATGTATGTGCACCCAGAAAGGTTTTACAATGAACCTTCGGCGTGAAAGAAGAAAAATGTGCATTCCCTAATGGCGGAAAAGACCATGCTACTGCGACACACGGTAAAGGAACGTGTGAAAACTACATGATACGGTCGTGCCGCTGACCACTAACAATCACAAAAAAGTCAACGGTGTCCAGCACGTGTGGTCGGGCTCGTGGTCCACCGCTCGCCACGCTCCAAGCTCGTCCGGCGTGCCTCTTGTATCGACATGTCCTCCTCTCCATCAGCCTCCTTTGCAGCGACGTCAGTCTGATCGTCGTCAACGACCGTGACGCCATCTCGTCTCATCTCCCTCTGTAACGCCGCTAAGAGGGTGTCCGTGCGACGTCTCCCTCGCATCATCTCCAACCCCTCGCCCCCGGTGGTCTCACCCTCAAGGTGTGATGCTCGTCGAGGTATCGGTCGTTGTGTCCTGGGAGGCCCCAACACATCTGCCCCGAGGATCTGTGAAACCTCCCTCAATCTGTGAGTCGACACTCGTGCACCGGGCGCGGCAGATCCTCGTCCGCCCACAACCTCGACATCAGCACCCAACCCGCCACGATGCTCGAATCCAGCAGCATGCACCTCCCTCGTCGATGACGTGGACGAGCGTCGCCTCCCCAACCCGGGCTGCCTCTTCCTGGTAGCCGTCGTCGACCTCCTTGTGTTGCCGAGTAAAGAAGCCACGGCCCCCGCTGTCGCCTGTCCACGCTCTCAAGGCCTACCCGCCGCTGAGGTTAGCGCAGACAGTTGTGTCCCGCGATCTCGTGCCACACTGGGAGGGGACTGTGTCGCACCAACTCCCATGGCACCCACCGCCACCGAAGCGTCAGATGGCGGTGTCAGGCTAGCAGGGCCCCATAAAACAGACTGCACGCGTGGTAGAAGTGCTTTGCCTTTCTTTGAGCCGATCCTCACTCCACGTCTCGTCTCTGTGAGATCCGTCGCAAGGCACGCACCCAACTCATCAATAGTCATCGCGCCGAACATCAAACTGCCTCGTGGCTTCTCTACATAACGAGTGCGTTGCCCGCTAGGAGCAGGTGGACGACGACGCGGCCGCTGAATGGATGGTCGAAGTGTGGCCGTCGGTGCATCCTGCCGAATGTGCGGTGACGCCATGACTCCTGCTCCCTCCTCCACGCGTGAACCAGGTATAGTCGAGGGCGCACACACATCTCCATGCCCCTCCTGAACCCTATCCTCCCCTATCTCTCCATCTCCCCCCACCGTCGCTGGACTCCCAACTGCCTCCTCATCCTCCACGTCTCCCCCTGGTACATCTGGGCGGCCACCGACTGAGCAGCATCAGCCTTTGGCACATTGGAGTCAACCACTATCTCGCCGCACACCTCTCTGTCGTGTGCCACTGCAACGGCGTCCGCCTCTCCGTCTGGTGGTATCGGGACGATGGGTGCGTTGTCGATATCGGGCCCGGGTGTCTCGCCCTCTCTCTCTCGAACCGCATGTAAAGTGAGGGCAGCTGCCTCCTCGACCAACCCACGATACTCCAATGTCTGCGCGTGCGCATTACCAACTGAGCCCTGCATCTGGTCATCCTCCACAACATGGCCTCGCACTCCTCCCCCAGTCTTTAGCTGACGCATGGCCTCCATGTCACGTGCCATGGCCTGTGTGCGCGGGTCAGCATCGGCTAGGGCCTTGGCCCTTGCGGCCTCCTCCTCATCCTCCTTCGCCTCTCGAGCCATGCACTCCTCCTCGGTGTCGGGTGTAGGCTCTCCCATGTGAAATGTTTGTGGCTGAGGCCGAACATCCTCGTCGCCGGCCTTGCGCAACAATAGACTCACCCTCCGTCATGGCTGGTAGAGTAGCCTCTAGCTCGGCCATGAAATCGCGCATGGACGCTGATTCCATAGCATGGTCCCCACCGTCAGCCTGATCGTGTGGTGCCCCCTCATGATGGGCATCATCAAACTGCTCCGCGTGACCCGTGCTACTACCAGGCAGATCGCCGAGCGTCCCAATGTCCCCTAGCGACCATGCCCCACCCAACCCAGAAGCAACACCGCCGGCCACATCTCCGGTGCCCATCTCTCTGTGGACAGTTGGCGAACGCTCATGTCCTGCATCTCCGATCTGCACTCCCCCTATCCCCACACCCCTACATGACGGCGGTGACTCAGAACCTAGTATGAGTTGTCTCTTCGCGACCTTCGGACCCTTCCGAAGCCGCAGAAGCCTCACACCTCCACCATGTCCCTCTGAATCCTCGGCACTGTGCAATGAGCCCCTGCCTGTTGGACCCTGTCTGTCATGAGCTCCTCACATGCCCGCTATGTTCCCCTCCACCTCGAGGTGTGGCCAACATGTGCAGTCGGCGATGAGGTATGAGGAAGCGGTTCGGCAAGAGGGCTCCCAGATCCGTCCCAGCATCCCTCAACTCCAACCCTGCCCCTGCCTGTGTCCTCCAACAAATCTCTGCCACCGCTATGTCGGCGAACCCCCTCAGGGTCACTCCATCATGATGCGCCATCGTCGTCCTCTGCACGTGGGGCACCACCAGCGCCGTGGGGGCGGAATCCCTCATCTGCCTCCTCGCGCTCATCTCCAGTCGAGTCATCTCTCGGGTACGGCCTCAAAGTGGCGGCCCGAACCCCGACCACATCCTCAACGGGAGGCGGTAATCGTGACCCACAAGTATCCCGCCGCCACATCTGCATCTGCGCATCGCAGTCCTCCTCGGGTATGTTGTGGTCCACCCCCTCGCAGACAGCGTCCTCCTCAAGACCACCCTAGGCATCCAACATGGACTTGTCCTGGGTCCACGGAAGAACCAAACCTCCACCAGCGCTCTGAAGAGCCAATAGTCGTCTGTTGGTCGTGATCTCAACCAACTTCGCGACCTTCGGGAACAATAACCTGTTATGTTTCTTCGTGTGAATACTCTCGTGGATGGCCCGGTTCCGCTCAGCGGGAGAGAAGCACGTCCACATGTATAGCACAAAAGAGTAATACGTTGAAGCTCCGGAGCACAGCCGCCATATTGTGACCACCAAAGACCACTCTCAACGGTCTCCTACTCCCCAACACACATCTCCGTTGCGGCGCGTGCTTGCTCCCCTCCCCATGCGCAAGTCAATGTGTGCATATGAAAGTCTCGCAACTGCATCACAGCGTCTCGGTACTCCTTCCGCCGCTCGTCAAACCCGGTCTGCGACAGAATGTACCGCTCTGCCTCCCTCACAAGTCGTCTGTCCTCCTCCATCACGACACTGCTGTAATACTGCATCGACCTCCTCATCGGACAAAGGAGGTACGCCGTAGCATGCGCATGCTCACATATATGAGCGACGCGCTCCTGCATACACCTGAAAATTTGATCCACCAATCCATCCTCTAGCGGTGCAACAGCTGCCTCCACCTTCGTCGCCAACCGCCCCGCCCACTCGACCACTCGAAACATGCATAACCCTCCACGATCCATCTTGCGCAGCAGATCGTAAGCCGGCTTCATGACGGCACGCAGGATGTCCATGGAGTCCCACCAACTGCCATGCCGGATCTGCCACCGCACCCACCGCGCATGCTGCCTGATCGATGTAGTCGCCCAAGGCTCCCTGCACCAGTCTGTCCCATCCAGCATGCGCTCCAAAGGACGCCGTACAACATCCAACCGCTCTAGCATCGCGTACACAGAAGCGAAGCGAGTCTCACAAGTGTACAACAACCCGAGATGGCGACTCTGAGACTCTCTCCTGAACAAAAAATGAGCTCGACCGTGCATTTTTATGAAATGCACTACCGCTCTCGCCCGCACAATAATGTCTACGCACCACGGGCCCGTTGTCCCGATGCCCGACAACAATTTGTTGCACACATGTGCCACGCAGGGAAGCCACGTAATCCGTCTGTACTCAGGCCGCATGCTAGGATGGGCCAAAATGTTGTTTGCCTTTACGTAGGCAGACGCAGAGTCTGTGCGAATGGCATTAATCCTGTCGGGACCGAAGTCGTGGAAAACTGATATCCACCTCCCCAACACTGCAAGCGCATCATTAGTCTCACCCTCCCTATTCAGGGGGCGATACATCATCACTCCTCGAGCACCGGCTGCAAGGAAGTTCACGATGGGTTTCCCATCACAAGACTTTCTACCATCGGACATGATCGTGGCCCTAGTGCGGTCAAACGGCTCCTGTATGTCTTTCAGACCCGCAACAACGTCCGTCGCCATCTCAAGCACTGTATCCATCGATGCGACTTCGTTCTCAGAAGGCCAAACCACGGGGACTTAAGCGGGTTTGTCCCTGAAGTGTGCAGTGTACGCCTTCCATGTGGGGCTCCGAAAGATGTTGAAGGGAAACTGGTTGTTGTACACGAAGCGCAACCACAGCTTCCTGTGTTGGGCAACCCAGTCAAACCCGAACACCTCTTTTATCGCCGACTGCCTCATCTTCTTCCCCTGTTGCAGCGTCGCACCAACAACACCCTTCCTCTTCCCTAAATTCGAACAACCCTCACCATCGGGCAACTTGTCTGGCCCCTGCGAGTATAGAGCCTCGACCTCCCCCTCGACCCCCCCGGCCCCACAATCCTCTCCCTCGCCATCCAAATCAATGACGTCATTGCCCTGTTGTCGTGCCCCAACTGGGGCGTTGGACGCCACCCTCACCTGAGCCAGACCCCCGCCAGTCCTCCTCTCGTCCACCCAAGGACCGTGAAGCTCCTCGTACTTGCGGATCCGCTCCAACCACCCTCCCTCAAACGCGTAACCGCTCGTGTAATGCATATCCATAAGAGCTTCATTGGTCACCTGTGAACATCCCTTCACGCTACGAAAATGCCGCGCCGCCCCATGCCTATTCCCCTGCCACTCATTCCTGCAGAACACGCACCGACGCATCCTCTGACCACGGAGCTTCTCAGAAAGTTCCTGCCCAACGAGCACGTATTTGTAAACGCTGTTCGAATTCTTCATGCTCGCCTGCGTGTTGTCGCTGGCCTGGATGAAGGTGTTAACTTGCCGCTTCGGCATTTTCGCCTCACCCGTCGACCCGTACGAAACGGTCGTCGGCAAGCCTGCCTTCACCCCGGTCCGAACCCTCGGCAACCGCTGTAATGCAACCCGACGTTGCAAAAGCGCAGTCCAAACCCTGGGCACCCGCTGCTGCAGAAGGCGGGCCTAAAACCTCGTCGCCCGCCGCTGCAGCACCGCAGACCAACCCGTCACCAACGCCCTCCGCCAACCACCGCTGCCAGCCCGTCGCCGGCCCTCCGGCAACCGCCACTGCCAGCCCCCCTGGCAGCCCCTCGCTGGCCCGCCGCAGCAAGCCCTCACAAAAGTCGCCCGCCTCCACCGACCCGTCGCTTGTCGGCGGTCGGCGAGGACTCCTTTTTCGGCGCGCGCCGGAAAAAATTCAGCGCGCCCTGAAATCTTTGCGCTGGCGCTCAAAGAAATCGACGTGCGCTAAAATTTTCAAGTCGCGAACTCCTCGTCGCCGTCGCGCTCGTCGTTGGCGTCATCGTCGCCGTTGTCGTCGCAGTAGTCGCCATCGTCGTCGTCGTCGCTGTCGTCGCCGTCGTCGCCGTCGTCGTCGTCGTCGCCGTCCTCTCTCTCTCTCTCTCTCTCTCTCTCTCTCTCTCTCTCTCTCTCTCTCTTGCGCGCGCGCGCGCGACTGCGCTTCAGCGTTTGAGCATGCACAAACACGAATGGTGCACGCCCATCCGCGCTGCGCTTAACAGTGCTTGCTGGGATTTTTTTTTATTTTTCTTTTTAACTGTTCGGTTGTCTTCAGGTCGCCAGAACCCCCACACCCCCGCCCCCAGGACCCCTAAAACCGACAGTTACCCTTCCCCTCCCCGGTATGGACTCCGCCCGCGAACGTGCTCGAGGTGCTCAAGGCGCGCTCGAGCGTGCTTTTGAGCGGCGCTCAAATACACGAGCGCTGGACCCGCACTCAATCAGCGCACGGTTTCACAGCAGATATCGCCTTCACTTCTCCTCGTCAGTTCCCTCACTTCATATGACAGGATGACGTCACGTTCTACTCACTGAACGTCATGGATCTTCTTCGCTATAATCCACTCTGTCCCGAGGTTGAGCTCATCTCATAGGATCCCGATCCCCCTGACCCCTCCTCCATCTTCGCAGCTCCTATCTCTACATCCACCCCGCAGCCTGCGGATACCCCCTCGACATCCTAGGTCCTTACATCGTCCACTGCCAAGTCAACCCATATGTCTCGTATCGATACAAACATTGAGGAACTCACGCGGTTCACGACCGGCTTAGAGTCCGACGTCCGCGATTTGATTCAAGAGTACCACGACGTTTTCCCCCCGTATTTCTCATACAACGGGATCCTTCCGATGCGCAGTGTTGAGCATTCTATCCAGCTCGTGGCTGACTATCGTGTCCACCATCAAGCACCCTACCGACTCTCGATTTAAGAGGCGAAGGAACTCAAGCGTCAGCTTAAGGAGCTACTTCGACAGGGTTTCATTAAACCATGTAACTCCCTTTGGGGTTCACCCGTCCTCCTTGCTCGCAAAGCGGACGGAACTGTTCGCCTTTGCATTGACCGCGACCTTAACCGTTACACGGTTATAAACAGGTATCCCATGCCTCATGCGGATGAGTTGTTTGACCGTCTGGCAGGCAACCGCTTCTTCACGAAGATCGATCATCGTAGTGGTTACCACCAGATCCGCATTGCCTCAAAGGAGCAGCCGAAGACCATTTTTCGGTCGTGATTCAGCCACTACGAGTTCACGGTGGTGCCATTCGGCCTCACCAACGCACCCGCCACCTTCCAGACGGTGATGAACAATATCTTTACGTTCTCGTATACCTGGACGATATCTTGGTTTACATCGTACCTTAGAAGACCATCTCAGACACCTCCTACAGTGCTTATGGAAGCATGACTTTTATGCCAAGCTTAGTAAGTGTCGCTTTGCCCACCGCAAAGTGGACTTCCTAGGACACCATGTGTCTGACCTGGGTCTCCACATGGACGACGTGAAGATCATTGCTAATGCAGAGTGACCTGTCCCCACATCCGTCAAGCAGCTTCGCAATTTCCTAGGCCTCACTAGTTACTATAGTAATTGCATTCAAGGATACACTAGGTATTCCTACGTCCTTACCTCCACCCTCCTTCGGAAGAACCCGCCGTGGTTTTGGACACTGCGAGGACGCCTTTCGTGCCCTCAAGAAGGCGGTGACTTTTGTGCCGGTTCTTTGCCTCCCCGATTTTGACCGTCCCTTCATCGTCACCATTGATGCGTCAAATTTTGCAGTAGGAGCTGTATTTTCTCAGGTATTTCCCTCTCCTCTTGATTCACCCTATCCCCATGTTCCTTCTTCCCCCCCCCTCCTGTTGACACTGCTTCTCGACTGACGCCTATCCTCCCACCACTTTCCTCCACTAACAATCCCCCCGTTACTTACTCCCCGACCATCGCGGAGGATGGGACTATCGAGGCTCGTGCTGGGGATTGCCCAATCGTTTTCTACTTCTGTCAGCTACTGTCAGTCGAGATAAACTACACTGCTGATGAACGTGAGGTTCTCGCAATAGTTTATGCTACCCGGCTTTGGCGTCATTATCTGCGCGGGGCGCCCTAAGACCTTCACGGTGCACACAAACAACTCAGTTATCCAGACTTTCCTCACAAAGCCCAAGCTTTCCCCTCGACAGGCATGCTGGTGACGTGATTTATCCAAGTTCAGTTTCACCACTCAGCCTATCAAGGGTGAAACGAACCGCGTCGCCGATGCCTTGTCCCGTCGTTCCGATCACAATCAGGAAACCATCCATCTTGTTGTCATTTCTATCACCATTGTTGATCAGTCGGTGATCGACGCCTATTGCGCTCAGTACTGGCACTGTCGGGACTATCACATCACCCACGTGACACTGCGGAGTGGCAAGACCGTTCCTTCATACTCCCTCAGTACGAACGGTCTTGTGTACTGGCATGGCAGATCTGGTCAATTACAAGCACGTATTTGTGTTCCCTCCATCGGACAGCTCCGTGTCTAGGCTGTAGCAAAGTTCCATGACCAGACAATTGTCGGTCATATGGGATTCCACAAGACGTTGGCTCGCGTTTGCCGCCTATGTGTATGGTCGAAGTCTAAGGACTTCTTCAAAGCCTACGTCTAGGAGTTTCCTACCTTAAGGGAGGTGAACAGTGCGAACCACCTTGCGTATGGGTTACTTCAGCCCCTACCCATACCTGAGGGTCGTTGGCAGTCCTTCTCGATGGATTTCGTCGGTCCTCTTCTTCCACCCATTGAGCGCGGTCATGATGCTATCTTGGTCGTCGTCGATCGCTTCATGAAGCATGCACGCTTTGGCTCGTGCCGCTATCGCATTAGCGCTCATGAGGTCGCCGACATCGTCTTCAACCGAGTCGTGAGAGATCACGGATTATCTCAGAGCATCATTTTCGACTGTGACCCACGCTTTACCAGCACATTCTGACGACGCCTACACGAGGTGTACGGATCCCTACTCCACTTCTCGTCGTCAAACCACCCTCAGACGGATGGGCAGACTGGGGTCACCAATATAACTCTCGGTAATATCCTCCGAAAGTTTATTAGGGATGACCAGCAATGAGACTTACACTTAGCCCACGCGGAGATTGCGTACAACCACGCCGTTTCGCCAGCCACGTGGATGTCGCCATTCTATTGCGACCTCGGTTACCACCCTCGTGTACCCATGGATTTCCTACGACCATCGCGGTTGCGCCCAGACACTCGTTGTCTTGCGCTTGACGACTTGATCGTCCACATGGCGACGATTATGAAGCGCACACACGAGAGTCTAGCCGACTATCAAACTCGCATGGCCGCATGAGCGAACCGATCACGAATGGATCATCCGTTGAAAGTCGGTGATGATGTGCTCGTCAACGCACGCCACTTGCAGCTTGAAGCGGATACGCTTCACAAGTTTCGGCGTCGCTTCTTCGATGCATGCCGCATCCTTCAGGCTGTCAGTTTTGATACTGCCGCTAGTCCGGTCAGCTTCCGTATGAAGCTACCTGATTACCTTCGACAGGCTCGCGTACACGATGTTCGCAACGTGTCCTTGCTGCGTCCTTATCGTAGATCGTCCAAGCGCTTCGTCGCGCGTCCTTATGAGCGCCCTCCACCTATCATGGTGGGTCACGAGGAGTTCGTTGTTTCCGACATCATATCTCGTCGAGTTATCGACGGTACCCCTCCACGCATTGAGTACCTTGTCCGTTGGAAGGGCTATCCTGATGAGAAGGCTACTTGGGAGCCCCTCGAGCACTTGGAGCACGCCCGGATCTTAGTGTGTGCGTATGATCGTGCTCGTCGTGTTGAGTCATTTGTCGCTACTTAATCGACTGGCCTTCTTCCTCCTCCTCAGGCTGAGGAGATCGTTGAGGATGAACCCTCTTCCTTTGAGGCCGTTCTTCAACAGGAGACGGACGCCTCCGCTCATCCACAACGCACTCGTCGACGCCCTCGGCATCTCGACGACCGACTCTCTGATCACCTATTTTCTTACTGACTCACACTTTCAGGTACTCCATCATCGACTTCTTCAGGATGTCAGCGTTTTGCGACTCTGCTTTGACATCGACTCGACTCCTACTTCATCGACGTCATCGACCACTTCGACGACTCCAGCTACCTCATCGACTTCAACTACTTTGGACGTGACGACTTCACGACACCGCCCTACCCTGTACATTCTCTTGCATGTCGCATGATGGTTCTCACTTAGCTGGGTCTCTCTGAGTTGGGCTCTCCCTTGGTATCGCATAGGCATTGGGACTGTAGCATTATCTTGGCTTCTCTGCTCCCAGATCTAGCTCCCTCCCCCAGTCGGTGAGTTGTGTACATGTTCCCCTCACCCACTGCATCCCTCATCACCCTAGTGCCAGTCATTGCATGCCTTCAGTTAGGCATATGTCCACCCTATTCCAAGCCCCCCTTTCATGGTCGACCCTGCATGGTGTCACCCTTTCGTTGAGCATTACCCG